CGTTCACTCACAAACTTCACACACCTGAACACAAAATGCCGAAGACTTCAGCTGTGTGGGACCATTTTAAATTGGACGACGGTAAGAAGAAGGCAGTGTGTCAAATATGCGATAAGAAACTGGCCTACCACGGTGGCACAACAACTCTGAAAAGTCACCTGGATGCTGTAAGTAGTAGCCTAGCTTAGCTTAGCTGTTGTCAAGTTGCCATGATGAAGCTGCCTTATCCGCTGTTTAAACAGTAACGTTACACATGATAAAAACGTGCACTTGCTTTGCTTGGAAAATAGTTGCAAGCAACCGAATTGTTTTTTATATTAGTTTTTCAATTTTATCCGAATAGTGAAAATAATAGGAGCAATGTGGGAACATCTGGGGCTAAGGCAATTATTAGCATGCAGTTCGTTCTTCATTTATTTAAATACCGTTTACTGTATCGGTAACAAGTGTTACACTGTTAGGCCTACTGTTACGGCTATGTTATTAAAAGTATTGTTGTTATAACAGAAATATGTGTTTTGTATCTTCAGGTTGTAAAAGGTTACGGAACTGCGGCTGGGTTAAATGCAGAGGACACGTTTAGTTTTAATGTATGCGAGTACTGAGACAATAAATACATATAAAATCGTAATAGTATGCTCTTTCTGCGCTTCTGCTTAACAGCGTGTTGTCAGGTGTCTCGGATTCGGAGCGTGTTATGAAACCATTTGGGAGAAAAAAAAATGTATAACAAAAAAAAAAAAATCTCCGCACCGAATATTTGCTGCTGATTACTACCGAATATCCGGAGCCTGAAAATGGTATTCGGGACAGCCCTACTGGAAACACACACAGAACACTCACTCTCTGGTGCCCATATGTCGTAGAAGTCTCTCTCGGGGTTGTTGTTGGCGTCAGTCACTGCCTTGCTTTCTGTCTTCTCCACCGGCCGTAGGTTCAGCAGCTTTTTCTGCCTCCGTGGCACTACGCCTTTGGCTGCCAGATGCTCGGCCTTCTGGGCAATGCGGCGGAGTTTCTTGGCATTAGGTAGCTGGTAGGATAGCACACTGGGGGGGTAAAGGCAGAAGAGATAATTATGTGAGACAGGAGGATGTAAAGGAACGAGGTAACAAGAGATGTGACACTTCATAAATGTGTGTTTACATGTCCTCAGATCCCAGGAGACCGTTAACAAAACCGTCTCCTAAGCTCCTATAAGTTATCTTCACATTCCCAATGAAGGAAATACTGGGAGCGCAAGGATGTGATCATCACAGGACACACAATAAAAGCAAGGCGGATTTTTTCATTTATACTTTTTTCAATCTCCACTTTATTGGAGATAAATGAGAAATGCAGTAAATCGTTATTCATTGCAATCTCTGTGCAGTCAGTCTGTGTGGGGCAGGCAGGAGTACGTGGCTTAGGAGGAGTTAACATAATAAACAAAACCCCTTCCCACCGTAGAGTCGTTACAGATACTGATCGTGATTAGTTTCGAGTAGATAAAGTGTTTTAGGACGAATTAATGAGCTTGATGTCTTTCTATAAACTTGAAAAGCAGCATAGAATGTTTTTCTGATAAGTCTGAACATGGACTAAAGAAACGTTCCAAATGTATGTTGTGCATGCTATCCAGTATAGTTCTGAAAAATAAAACCGGCAATAATTGCAATTAGTGAAATTGCATACGCAGAGTAAAGCTCAGAGCTTAGTGGCTGATACTGACTCTTTAGGTGCGGCAACGAGGGAGTCGTGCTGCAGGATCAGGTCGATCCTCAGAGGACGCACCGGCTTTCCTCTCCTCATCTTCACCTCGACAGGTGCCACTACAGCCCAGGGGAAAGGATAATATTTTGAGTCAGAATTAGGCGTATTGGGATGTGAGAAAACTACCACACAACTGATTTTTACTTGGGAAATGCACAAACCAACAATAGGCCCAAGGGACATATATTCACCTCTCCGTTCGGCTTTCTTTGGCGGTCCAACATCCAAAAAGAACAAACTTTCATCCGTCTTCTCGGAAAGCAAACCCCTATAAAACAGAGACCATATCATTTTACCAATCAATCATGTAGGCATAAATTACAGACATAAGTAAATATAAAAATAATTGCCTATTTTCCAAAAACTGAAGATATCCAGATAAAGCATTGAACAAAAAGAGCTGCACAAAGCTAACCAACCAGCACGAAATGTATAGACAAAACATGACTTGAATTAATAGACATGACTTTGTCATTGTTTATGTGTAGAATTGTATAGGATTAGGCAAAACACGTGGCCTGGCGTATATTTTTGGCAGATCCATCTTTTTATTTCACAACATTGCAAGAGTTTCCAAATAAATATAAACAAGATATGAAAAGATAATTTTCAACATGTTATTTTAGGGGACTGTTCGGATAACATTCATGTTATTTTGGTAGTATCTACATTTCCAGTTTCAATGTTGATGGTCCAATATAAGTGATGGCAAACTCTGGAACTCAGAGCCATTATCCGGTTTATCAACAATGAACCAAAAGACAAAACCTGTTAACCCTTATTTGTGGATCTTGAACAGGACAATGTGTTTTTAAAAATAAATAAAAGACCTTCAACATGAATTTCACTTTATCTATTTGTAACATGGTAAACTAATTAACAAAAGGGGGAAGTACTACAGAGATTGTTCTACTCAGAAAAAGAGCCACGCAAGTAACAGTAGTAGTAATTGTGCAGAAAAATTTCTTCCATTAGTGATGTATTATAAATAGAAGCGACATTTTACAATTGTACTACAAGTACATGTAGTTGAGTAAAATTAACTTCGAGATTGTACATGAGTAAATTATGTCATAAGGTACTTTACAATAGTGGTAATTTATGACTGAAGTTATTTTTATTTTTTAGAACAACAGTGTGCCAAAGTTTGTAGTACAACAACAAGAAACCTAAAAAATAGGACTAGCTTAGCTAGCTATCTATCTATCTATCTATCTGCTGTAAACACAGTTCACGGTTTTAGGGGGGGGGGAACGACGGTCAGACATCGGGTCACAAACGGTTAAAACCCAACGAAATGTCCTCTAATGAAGTTTATCATTCGACATTTGTAAGAGTTTTGTTACATGTAAATACAACACGGTGGTTTCTCCAAACACATGGCTGAACTCACCCTGTGGTTCTCTCCTGGTGTCGGATGTCTTCCAGAAACTCGTCCACATCGTTGATGTCGATGTTTTTGTTCCAGTTCTTCTTCTTGTTCTTGTTCAAACGTTTTCTCCGAGTGGTGCCCAGGCTATCGTCGCCCGAAACGGACTTTAACTTAATAAAACCAGGCTGGGAGGACGCCATGCGTTTCATCCTCCTGTTGGCCGCCATGTTGGAGGAGGAATGGTGGAAAGAAAACACGTCACGTGTTGGGTTTTATATGCGCGAGGGACGCTGCAGGCAAGCCCCCTGCAGGACAGCGAGGGAATTACCATACCTTTATTCAAAGATTTAAAGGGTTTATTGTCATATGCACAGTAGCTACAGTATCGGTATGGTGATTCATATATTAAGTCCCAGGTTCCTCCAACAATAAAACCTAAATATGAATAAGTTATAAAATATTAAAACAAATACAAATAAATATGAAAAGATATAAAAATACTTCAAGACCAATGTGTTTGGGAATTATACACCCATTCATAAGAATCAAAGACTTTCTTGTTATACTGTATGCACTATGCACATAGGTTTTATTAACATGGGGGTCGCTGGGAACATGTGCGCACCTCTTTTTTGTCCCCACTACTATTTCAAAGCTTGTTTTGTTTTGAATGTTCTGAAAAACAACTAACTTGTGTAAAATCATTCACTGAGGCTTATTTACAAGAAAATATACAATGCTAAATGAATATATAGAATGAATGAATGTGCATTGCCAAAAGCTCAACAAAAATGTACTTAATCGTTATAAAACTACTATGCACTGATCAGTTTAACAAAAATGATTCATAGAGTTTCCCCAATCTTTGGTAATTATCTATTATCATCGATTATCTCACCTTGTACCGATCCACCAAATGACATTGTGTCAAATGTTTTATGGTTAAATTGTTTAAATATGTTCCCCACCACTTTTAACAAAAAGCTAAACCTTCGCATGTGCAGTTATCGTGTAGTTGTTGTCGATGAACATCTTAGGTTTTAGTTTCAGTGTAACATGTTTGTATTTGCACTATTTTTTCCTTTTTGTATATGATATGTATAGTATGTCTATGGAGCCTGGGAGTTATTGATTTAGTTCTCCACAACTGCAACACAATAGCATAGTTGTTGTGGGAGTTAAAATGAAAACATTTCCCCCCACATTATGTTGGAGTGAAAAAGTAACAATACTGTCAAACATAAGGAAACGTAAAGTATTCTCACTAATTGTGATTTTATAATATTGACGTATTGTCGTCCTAATTCAATTTGTTATAATAGTTGTGTTGTCTTGTTTATGTTTCGCTGCACCATTAACCCGGGTAGTTTTCTGCAATGTGTTTAAAATTAAAGAGCGCCCCCTGCAGGACTGGCAGTGTAAATACTGCATTTGCTGTCTCCTTGTAAATAAAAGTTAAAACATTTATTATCTGTTTCACATTTTATAACACTATGATATTTTTATTTTTGTGTGAGTACAAAGACAATTTTCCATGGCACTCAGATAATAGAGTAACACAAGTGTTGAATATGTTTTAAATTACAATTGTGTATACTACATCATTAAAAACTGTGAATATCGTTTAAAAGGTCTGCAAGACTGAAATCCACTTTAATAATATTCGTTTTCTCGGATATTAAAAGTGCTCTGGTTGTTTGTTTTTTCCAAATAAAATAAATCTAATAAAAAACAATAATATAAATTCACAAAAGTGTCAACTTAATAAAAAAACCGTAAATATAGTTTTAAAAGTCTGCAACAGTGAAATCCACTCTGTTTCTATTCAGTTTCTCTGATATTAAAAGTGTTTTTGGTTGTTTTTGATATTAAATAAAAATAAATGCAATTAAAAAACAAATAGTATAACCTAACAAAAGTGTCAAAAATCGGAATAAAGACAACATTTAGCATGACATTGGATGGGAAAGTGACCATGCAACTGTTTACCATGTTGCAGCATGTATGTAATATGTTTGTCCCAGGTGCATCATGGGAAATGTGTCTCCTGTTGCTTTCCTATGTTCTTTTTCCTTTTTTTTCCTCCCTTCATTTTATAGCGAGAAGAACAACGCTTTAGAGACTCAAGAATAAATTCCCATTTTTGACCTGTTATCTTTCACGAAGTTTGCAAAGGTAAGTCTCATCATTTCGATAAAAGTCCAATCTTTCATTTAATGTTGTGTTATTTTTCGGATGAACGTGTCTTTTCCATTATTTTTGGTGAAAAAGAAAACGCAGAGCAGTCGCTTATTATCTGCCTGCTCGGGGGACCTTAAAAGCACTTGTGATCTCGGTCAAATTTGACTCGGAAATGCGCCTAAAGTGAGGGGTCATCTGACAAAATATTGTTTACCAATTGATCCCCTGACATGTCTACTGTCTGTTACAAAAACTATATTCCACTTTAATGCCGCGGTTTGTATATAATTCCGTCGTTTTTATAACCACCTTCCTCGTTTGGTACAACGATTTTTTTCCTTCCCGTTTACATTCTTCTAGCCAGCCAGCCAGCCATCATCTTTAGGTGTGCTCATTTGCTGACAGCGGGCAGCCAACGCGGGCGGGAACGCTTGTTTTTCCCTCGTTATAGCTCATTCTGAATAAAATATCAGGCCTTGTGCGCAACCGGGGTGCGCAGTGTAAAGAATCGAACAAACCCACGTCCATTGCGCAAGGGGCGGGATGTTTCTTGCCGTCATCGTGCTGTTATTGGGTCGACTTTTATTTGAAATGAAATGATTGGTCTACAAATTCGAAATATCCCGCCTCCATGGCTTGTTTACACAATCTGATTGGTTCACAGGATAAGAAGGTATACCATGATTCGACACTATTGCTGTCCTTTTTACGGACGTCAGTCATTACATAAGCTGTCTCGGATATAATACAAACAACAAATAGACGCTTGTGCTGCTGATGTATGGTTTTATATCCCGCTCTTACTGATGAGTAGATGTACAATTCTAATTCAATCAAAAATAAAACTGGACAAGTACATTTGTATCCTTCAAATCCCCTCCCCTTCACACTATTCTTTTACACATGTGCCTTAAAAATGCATTGTAGTATTTACCAAAGCCAACTTTGTCCTGTGCCCTCAGGTGATCTTTAGTAGCCATGGCCCGTACCAAGCAGACTGCCCGTAAGTCCACTGGAGGCAAAGCCCCCCGTAAGCAGCTGGCCACAAAGGCTGCCCGTAAGAGCGCCCCCTCCACTGGTGGGGTCAAGAAGCCCCATCGTTACAGGTGAGAGTCCATACAGTGCCTTTGATTGTGTTGGAAAGATAGGAAAACACAGAGGATGCTTGAGTTTTATGCCCCTTGTTCAATATGTGGATATACACCAAAACTCAACTGACCAATAGTTTTCCTTCAGCCCCAAATAAACTCTTTAGGGATGTATTTTACTTACTTTTTAATAACATTTCACTTTTTTTATTAACTTTCTCATAAAACACAATAGGCAATGTACATTACATTCCGTATTTAGATTGTTATGTGGATTACATTTTGGAAAAATAGATTCTTTTCTACCCTGGTCTCACTCAGGCTCCTACTAGTAGAGGTGCAAGGTGAAGATGAAAAAAGTGCACACGATTCATATGTTCTGTTAAAATCGGAAGGGGATAACATAACTTTTTTGTAAAAGCAGCTCAGCTTCTCCCTCCTTAAATTGTGCATTTGAACATGTTTTCCTCTGCTCTCCAGGCCTGGTACCGTGGCTCTGCGTGAGATCCGTCGCTACCAGAAGTCCACTGAGCTGCTGATCCGCAAACTGCCCTTCCAGCGTCTGGTGAGAGAAATCGCCCAGGACTTCAAGACCGATCTGCGTTTCCAGAGTGCTGCCATCGGAGCTCTGCAGGTCAGAAAAACAACCAGATCCATACACTTGACCACTGGCTAATGAAAGAGAGGATATTAACCCACAGACAAAGCGGTGTTATAAAACACTATTAATGGCGTACAAATATACAGTGTCGAAAATGAATGTCTGTCCATATAAGCACTGCTGTCATACAATGTTCTGCTAAAAGTAAAGATGTAGTTACAGTTCTTTCCTTACACTTGAGGAGAAATGTTAATATGTTGGGAAAAAACTATTATTTGATTTTTATACTTTACAAAACGGACATCGGGTTCCATGCTTTAATTGCAGGGACTAATGAAATCAACCATAAAAGACAAACACACAATCATTTTTGCTCTACTGACATCCCTGTTCCCCCCCCTGCAGGAGGCCAGCGAGGCCTACCTGGTGGGTCTGTTTGAGGACACCAACCTGTGCGCCATCCACGCCAAACGTGTCACCATCATGCCCAAAGACATCCAGCTGGCACGTCGTATCCGCGGGGAGCGCGCCTAAACACTCTCCTTGTCTTTCTCCTTTTCACCTCTTCCTGCCCTTCCTTCACCAGTCTGCCCCTCTCTCCCTCCCTCTCTCTCTCTCTCTCTCCCTCCCTGTGTTAGTAGTGTGTAGAGGGAAACTGATTATATGATGGATAAAGTGTATAGTCGTGTTTTTCATAGTGCTCTCGGCAGCAGAACTATAGGGTACTCTCTTTTTGTGCATGTACCGACTCTCTGGTGATGAGGTCTCCTGGAGCACACGTCTCCTAGTTTGCACTGTCTGTGACGCGATGTGATGTGAAGGATGTTTTGTGGATAGAATACGGAAGAAAAAACGAGAACATTGCAAATTCGCTAGGGACAGAGAGGAGGAGGAGGAGGAGGAGAAGATGGGTCTGTGTCTGCTGGGGGTCTCTTCTCTGCAGCAGGGTGCTACATGAACGCTCCCCCCTCCTCTCCTCCTCTCCTCCTGCGCTCCATCCTCTGCAGGGCGTCAGTCAGGATGGATGATCTGTCCCTGTGTGTGCATGAGCTCTGATCACCTCAGCATATTGTATACAACACATCGGCATCTTTTTGGTCATCATATTGCTTTCAGTCATCATGTTAGGTTTGATGTTTTCCATCCAAATGAGTGTCATGCACAGGATTTCTTTTGCCACTTAAAACCATTTGTTAATGACGTGGAGATGGGGGGGGATACTTCAGAATTAAACACCTACAGAGAACAAAAAAACGATTTGAACTGTTTGTTTTTTTCTAGATAAATGTGAACTCATTTTGGCACCATCCTCTTGTAGACGCTGTGTTATACCTGACAGAAGAGTCAGCTGTTTTTGTGGTGTTCAAATTGGTTTCATCTAATT